TCACCCACGTCTTGCCATCTCTTAGCAGAGGGAATTTTGCCAGCTGGAAAAATGACTTGGACAAGATTGATCTCCCCTTCCCTTAGAAACATCTTGCCAGTATGGTCAAATGCTCTGGAATCACAGTTATCACTGACAAGAAGTACATTATAAAAGATGACAAAAGGGTTTATTCTAAAAACTAGAACAAATGTAAGAAATTAGTAATCATTCATTGAGATACTGAGATATTAGAATAAACAAGCAAAAGAAAATATGAGAAAAATAATCTGTTCTTATTCTGCAACTGAAATTCAAGACAGCTGTTACTGTCCAGCTCCATTCCTATCCAGGCTAGAAAGTAGTATCTGTCTCTTATCTTTCCATCAGGACCTCCTGTAATTTCTCCTGTCAGCCCCTGGTTGAGGGTCAACAGCCTTCCTTGGACCCAGGAAGACTAGAGACAAACCATGATATCAGGGCAAGGTTCCCCCCTTATGAAGGGATGATGTAGAAGTTAGTCACTGGGGCTGTTCTGAAGTCATCACAACCAGGATCAAAATGTATAGGAATAGTACATGATAGTATACTTACATCTCCTTTGATACGCTAGGTTGCTATATTACATTCTTTGAGCGGTATGCCCCAGTGCAGCAATCCAAAACTTACTTCCTTTGTCTTGTGAAGCTAGACTAGGGGGTGATGGTCTGTCTGGACTCTAAACTCTGGATTAATCAAGCAAAGTTTCAACTGGTTAACAAGCCACTTAATATCAGTGCAGTCTCTTTTCATGCTTGAGCAGTCCTGCTCACAAGGAGATAATCCTTCACTCCTAAAGTCAGTGGGAAGTGTTAGCAGGGCCACTGGCCTTAGGTCTATGCCTGCTGCATCAAAGTCTTTTATCATAACCGTTTAGAATAGGCGTTTCTGCTGAGGTAACCCACATCTGGTCAGATCCCTTCTGTCTGGAATCTGTCCAGATTACTTTGTCTGGTTTGTATTTCTTGTACAGGCCAGTGATAAATTTACCAATATTATGGAATCTTTCACAAACCAATCAGGAAGTCCTCTAAAGGAATTAACTTGATTTTTAATCTTTGGTACTGGGCAATCTAGACTCGTTTGTATTCCTAATATACTGCGGTTCATTTGGTCCCACATAACCTGATGTCCCAAGTATTGTACCTTGGTCACTGCCAAAGCAATTTGAGACATATTGTCATTCAACTATGCATTCAACATATATTTAAACACTTTGACAATTTAACCCATATCCCCAAGTCCTTTTGGCACATACACCATATGACCCAGTGTTCTTTCCAGCTGTTGCCATAAATGGCACCATCTTCAATGTAAGCTCAGGCAAAATTACACAGTCCAGCCAACGAACAACTGATTAAGTCTCAGACATAGCTTGAATCTAAACCACAACACTTTGAACTCACACAGTCTCAAATCTACATTGGAAACAAACTTCCTTTTGCTACCTTCACCCAAAGAGATTTTCTGGTACCTCTGGGCCAAATCAAGTGCACTGTTCACCCAAGGTGAGAAATATGCCTTTTGTATGGCAACAGCATGAATCATTCTGTCCTTCCTCACAGAGCTTTATCTTTCCAACCTATTTCAGGATAACAGTTCCAGGTGCCTGAGGATTATCATACTATCTCTGCTCCTAGCACCAATGCATTCTTCACCTTCTCATGGATCTTCTTTAGATTCCCTGAGGTACAATCAACCTCATTGTGCATAGACTTGTTCATCTCTCTGATGATCTTTAAAGCAGTTTCATTTGAGGGATCTCATTTATGATTCTGAACAATTATTTTCTCTATTTCCCCATTTGATTCAAATCTCTCCTGCAATCAGATACTTTCTGAGAAAACCCATTCTCCATTCTTGCCAGACCAGTTGGGTGAAGGCATGATCTGAGACTCCTTACCCCATTTTAAACCATGTCCACAACAGTCCCAGTATCATGATAAACTTTGAAAACCTCTTGAATCTCTTGTCCCCAACCAATAGCTGTTTTTATCTCAGTCTCCCTGTTGGCCATGTGTTCAATAGAACAATCTTGTTCCTGCTGCAGTAGTTCTGTATCATTTTTTGACAATATAGCTAGTACTTCAAGGCTGTCTTGTGAGTCATCTTCCTGCTGGGGCTCCTACTTTCTCCAAGAAACTTCTCAGCATTCTTTCCCTCAGGACTCAGGGTCAGGATTCAGGGCCACCTCTTTCAAGATGTCTGGAGAGGACTTTACTTCCATCTCTAGTGTGAACTTTGCCTGGGGTGCAATTGTCCCCATGGCATTCTGAGTCAGAGAATCACTGGTCTTAGCCTGCAGAGCTGATTTTGCCTCCTCCCTTCTCTGAAGGGTAACATACTCAAATCCAAGGTTTGAGTTTTTGCCATTGTAAGAGATGGCATTCACCATGTGGGAGAATTTATTTATGTCATTCCTCACAAGTATATCCACATGCAAGTCTTTGGCTACTCCAGCCTCTACGGGTATTTGTGCCCCCTCCCATTCTAGCAAAACTTGCCAGGAGTAGGATTTTCATTCCCTTCAAAACCAGTGCAAGTTATCTTTTCATAGAATCATAGAAAGTCAGGGTTGGAAGGGCCCTCAGGAGGTCATTTTTGTCAGTCCCTACTCAAAGTAGAACAAGCCCCAACTAGATCATGCCAGCCAAAGCTTTGTCTAGCCAGGTTTTGAAAACCCCCAAGGATGCAGCTTCCACCACCTCTCCTTTTTCAGGGATAACATGCTTTTTATTCACCAATCTCAAAATTAGGCAGTGCATTCACTGTGCCATGCCTGGGAGGAGATTCCCTTCCCCTGTCTGATGTGTTTGCTTTCTGTTTACATTCACTATCTGCTACTGGGCTGGCTGCACCTTATGCAATTTGCTGCATGCCACACACTTGTGGCACTCATGTCTCAGGTTGGCCCATCAGGGTGGTCTACCCCATCCCCAATTATGTAATGGCTGTGCTATCCATATGTTTAGTATTGCCACTTACAAAGACTCAAGACTGTGAGGCAAATAACAAACCTCAGAGTGAGGGGCAAAACTAGTTGAGGACAAAGTGTCATCAACTTAAGGATACTAACATCTTGGAGAGAACAGGTGATTCCTGAGTCTGCCCAACTTCATTAAATTCTGGAACATATTCTTATTTGATATGGCTTTGTCACCTTCACAAGTATGGAATTCAGAACATCAGCCAGAATCTTGTATCATTTCATTCCTCTACTCTCTCCAACAGAAGAAAGACTAGGCCTTAAACAGAACTTTCTGTAATGGAAAAAAGGAGCAGAGCTAGACACTCTGTGCTGCCAATATGATTAATGTGAGGAGCTGCTTAGATATCAAGATGCTGAGTGACAGAACAGAAACCATAAGAATTACACATTTTTTCCTACGAAGTACATAATATAAGTTTGTTTGTCAAGTGATAGACTGAGCATGCTTTCATGGAAAACATGAAAATCTTCTTCTTGTGCCTCTACAGCACATTAGACCATTTTATTATACATGAAAGTGCCCTGCAAATAGGATTCTTAAGTCCCTCTTACTCTTTTCTGGAGGACTAGAACTTGTGCCCATGACATGTGTTGGAATACTGCCATAGACTTCAATGGGAGTACAGTCAGGAACTGTATACCAGGGATGCACTATAACACATATCCATAGTATATAGGGTTTACTGCAAAGGGTAAGTCTAGTAGAAGTCTCCATCAAACACTGGAAGTTGACCACATTTACCATATCACATAGTACAATTTGTGCAATTTAGAGGAATTAACCTGTATACATACGCTGACAAAATATTGCCTTTATAGACTATTTGAAAGGGGGGAAGCTCTTATATTATTGGTTTAAAGAAATTAAAAGTAGGGCAGATTTTCAAATATAGACTCCTATATGGCATCAGCATTTGACTATTTAGCCTTTCAATAGCTATCTTTCCAACAGTAAATGTTTCTTCTTTGTTGAAATAGAAAGTTGGTTGCTGAAGTCTTATGACAGAATGTTCTATGCAAAATATTGCAGGGAATGTAGGCTTGACAGACAACTCTGTCCCCATGTTTTTAAGGTTTTAAGGTCAGTTACCTCTCATTGGCACTGTACAGATTCTAATTCTGTTACTGAGGGGTGCACATGGGGTCTGTAGTAGTTCCCTTAATATCTTAATGATCAAGTAAAATAATGAACTGAGTATATGCATTTGTGTGAGTATACTCGACAACAGATGTATTTGTGGGAGGACAACATTATAAAAAATGCCTTTTATTTGCTTCTCCTTTGAAAAGCCCTACATTTTAAAATCCTGCTGCAGAAACACTTAGAAGGTTACCACAGATACAGTTGTCACAGAAAATGGACATTGTTGTTTAGTATTAAAATCATGTATTCCAGATGTGGGCATTTGTTAGTCAGTCTGCTCTAAAATGACATACTGCTGAATCTTTAAAGGCCTTCATTTTGGGAAAGCAAAATATGATTGGGCAAATTGCTAAAATATTTAAAGTGCAGCCTGTTAAAGCTTTTACTGCGAAGAGCATCACGTCAGAAGTTGTATGTGGTAAAAGCAAGTAATTGGCTTTCCATACTTATGCCAGTCTGTCAGCATGGGGCTCTGTTCCTATCCCTTCTACTTCATTGCAGATGCTAATAGCAACTCTTTTGATATTTATTTTTGGAGGGGTGGAGCAGGAAGGAAAAAGCCTTTATGGATGTGAAGGTGACAGAAAGACTTGTTTAAAATCAAATGGTTACTGGCATAGAAAGTGAACTGGAAACCTTGCAAACCTCACCCCAAAATGTAAAATGAACTGCTTTTTCTTTTGCATTAGCTTTTGTTTTAAAGCATATGTATTGAAAATATCTGTTTAAATGTAAATAAATTTTATTTTTTTACTTTTATCCCTGTTTGGGCACAGCTCTTGGGATCTTTTCTCATCCATAATTCATAATATTTTCTACTTATGTTATCCTTGACTTGTTTTTCCCCAGGCATGACCCCTTGTTAATTCCCGGCAATGAGCAGATAGAGAACATGGATGCCAGTGTGAAAAAATACGACTCTACGGGGATGTTTCATTGGTGTCCAGCTAAGGACATTGAAAAGGTTATTTTGGTGGGTGTCTTAAAAACATGTCTTTCAAATTCTGTCCAAAGAAAGGCTGTGTACACAGTAAGATTCTGAAATGTCTAATGAGTTAACATAGTCATAGTAATGAAAACCATCACACTGAAATCAGAAACACAAAATGGTGGGTTTGAGCTATCATTCTAATAATCACCAGAGTTATAGATGATTATTGGTATAGGTTATACTCCAAATATAGAATTGAAACCTGGTCTCTAATATTAGACTACATTTTCATATACATCAGTGAAACAAGCTTAAAGCCAAATAGGTGTTTTAGATCTTCGAAGCATTAGAGTCATAATAGCGTGAACAAGTTTTACACTGCCAATTCATCTTTTAAACAATGTGATAATGCATTCTTAGGCAGGAAACTATTTTTTTTTTCATTATCTCTTACTGAATTTATTTCTTGATCTCAACTATATTATGTTATTCAAAAAGGCTGGAATAAGTGGTATGGCTACTTTGCCATCTCACCTGCAGTACTGGGCCTAGTGGGTTTTCATGAACTGAGAGGGCTGCCAAATTGCACATATTACTCAAGTAATTAAAAATAATTAGCAGGCTTGCAATCTGTTATATTCAGTGAAGATTTGTATCAGTTGTGTTCATGTACTTGTACCTAGGAGTAACAATTAGCCAAGTCCAGATCTCATATACAAAACTGATAATATATTAAATGAGTTCCCTGGTGGATCTTCACTCTGATGCAGTTTATAAAGCTTTTCTTGACAGTGCTCTCTTACCCTTGACAGTGCTTTTGCCTGGTGTAACCAATAATGGTAACATCCTTGGATTAATTTAACAGTTAGGCTGATTCCTATTCTCCTTAGGGGTTATAGTAATAACAATGACATTGCCTGGAATTGCAATATTGGCATTTAAGTAATCAATGAGCCAGTCAATTTCAAATTCCAGTGAATAAATTGTTAGTTAGAGTTGGGTGTGAACAGTTTAAATGAATATGCGTTCTATGGTATTCAGTAGGTTAAGAGCGGGAACCTCACTGTATAGTATTTGATAATGGAATATACAGTATAAAATTATGAAGGCCAGTCTCAGTATATTGAGAATTCTTTAACAGATCAGTTAAGAATGACCAGAACTGTTGTTCTACTGTGTGAAGTGTTTTTGTAAAAAATGGCATTATGGGATTCTTTATTTATTATCTTTTGGTGACTCCATATCAGTTTTTCACAGTTTGCAAATGAAAAAACTAGCTGCCAGCTCTGTAAACTCATCTGACATTTTGTAAGTTCGTCTGAGTCCTTCCTCGTTCATGCATCATCACTATCACCAAACCTAAAGATCTTATAAGCACAGTGCATACACCAATTGAACCTCGTTGCCTATAAATTCTACACATTCGCATCTGTTCAAAGTCTTCACTGGGGTCTGTTTAACTGCAAGTTGCTGAGCTTCCTGGTCCTTATCCAGGAAAGGCCTTAGTTATACATGGAACTATTCACCTGTTTGAAGGTAAACATGTGCTTAAAACTTTTGCTGTGTGACAGCCAAAGCGCTCAGCATCTTTTAGGGTTAAGTCCACTTGTAATGTGGAAACTCAGTCTGCTCTTAGCTGCATGAACATTAATTCAGTTATGTAAATGTAAATGAAAGCTGAATGTTTTCAACTGATCAAGAGGCCTTTGACCAAAATTGAGGTTTATACCCTCAGTTCTGTCTTCCACAGAAGTGCTTCTTAATTGTTATTAATTCATTCATCCTTCTTAACCTATACTTAAGGCAGTTGACTGTCCAACTTCTGACTACATCATATGGATGCACCTAGAATTAGATCCATTGATGAAATTCAGCAGCACTGAGCCTGACACCAGAAATGAAGGTCACTGTTGGGTAATGACAGTAGTTAATCATCTCAGTACATGATTTTCCAGCAATGATAACATTACCACTAGTGAGATTAGTGCACAAATTTACCCTTGTCATTGACACAAGAAGTTAATTCGTAGAACCATTCATATGTGCTCCATCATATTTTTTCTTCCTTCCTTTCAACTTTTCTGAAAATTCAGTTGCCCTAAAAAGTTAGTCCTAGCTATGGTATTGCATCCTGTGTGTTTCAGGAAGGACCATTTAGGACTGTTGGCATCCAGTGCAAAGTAGAGTAGTCCAGAGGGTGCTTAATTTTATGCCAGGGACTAAGCAAATCACCAGTTCCAGGATAGAAGGCCCATTTTTTCAGACCTTCCCCTAAATTCAGGCATAGTTTAGAATACTGGACATGACTTTAACAATGCCTATCAGTAATTCTGTAAGACCGTAGGACTCAGCTCAAAATATTTGGGTCCTGGTTCTTACTTATACTAGGCCTCTTTGTGCTGTTTTCACCCTATTAAAAATTTTTAGAGGGTCGTAGATTCCATTAGCTTAGGCACACCAACATTGCTGTGATACAGTAGTGAGCTGGGAAAATATTCAAGTTTTAACATTCCCATTTTGCTACAGGAAATTTAAGGCTAACCCTAGCCACCCAAGAAATAGATTTGAGCTAGATTTTTTTTAAACTGAAAGCTCTGAATTTAGATGAATGGAATCCTTCTCTGTGTACTTTTGCAGCCAAAGTTGCTGGAAGCCTCTTCTCGCTTCTGCAGGCATCTGATTCCCTTGTTGTATTATTGTCAGTAAATGTTATTCTGTTGAAGTCATTGGAGATATAGTGCTGAAGGTAAAACCAATGCAAGTAGGGAATGGATCAGAAGCCTTCAAACATTATTGTGGTCAGGAAATGGTTTGTTTCCTATACACTTTGCATTTACACTCGCACTCTGCTATGTTGGACATATTTTATATAGCCTCACACATTTTTTCATTGCATTATTTGTCACATTGGCCATTGTTTACTTCTTAACTCATGTCATTTTACCATTCATGCTATTATTTTCCCTCAGGCTATAAATAGATGTTGTCATTGGAGCAGGATCAGCTGCACTGGGCTGTGTCCCAGCACAGTTGATCCACTTCATTGTTGTCTACAAATACTACGGGGGCACTGGTTCACAGGGTCAGACCCCTGCTGCTCTTGGGACTTCAGGGCTTGCTCCTGTGTGACAATACTCCTGGGTGCTGTGCCCTGAGTTGCAGTGCAACAACAGGATGTATGTGCCACAGGTTTCCCCTGTGGAGGATCCCTTCTGCATGCATCCACAAGTGGAGGAACCCCCATGCAGGTTCCACCACTTGAAAATGCATGCCTTGAATTGGGGTGTAGGGGCCAGATATGCACACCACAAGAATCCCCTGCAAGGGAATTCCTGTGGCATGCAGTAAGCAGAAAGATGTCCTCCCATTTAAGGTATTAGAAACTGTGATCATCTTTGATTGTGGCAGCATTTTGGGACACATGGAATATGACAAAGGGCTAGGACATCTATTTGTTCACAACTTGTAGAATGTAATAGAAGGTAAAATTGCTGTACTGAAGCAATGAAGTTTTGAATGCCCAAATTAGATTGTGAGTAATATAAGTTATGTCAAGACTATAGCTAAAAGGTCCCTTTGCATTCATTAGCCACTTTTTTGGTGACTTCAGAGTTCAGAAAGTACATCACTGCAAATCAATGGAACGTTAACAACAGCATTTCCAAGAACAAAATTTGATTATGTGTTTATGCATTATACTGTCTGCCTGTTTGTTCCAGGGACTCAAGACAATGTCTTCCTCTGCCTATACAACACTGAAGCACACTCAACAAAAGGATAAATATTAAGCATAATAATGAACAAGAGTTGACATCCTGCTTCTCTCTGTGTAAATAATATTAGCAGTTGCATTTTTCTTAGTTTAAAATTCAATATATGATTTACAGTTCTTTTTGTTTTATTTCTCCCTTCTTGTTTGTTTTTTATTTTGTTTTGGTTTTTTTTAGACTCGAAGTGAAGCAGCAATGACGGTTTTAAGTGGGCACGTAGTCGTTTGCATATTCGGGGATGTTAAGTCTGCATTGATTGGATTAAGAAATTTAGTGATGCCATTACGAGCCAGCAACTTTCACTATCATGAACTCAAACACATTGTGTTTGTTGGTTCACTTGAATATCTTAGAAGGGAATGGGAGACGCTACATAACTTCCCCAAGGTTTCAATCTTGCCTGTAAGTCCAAAGCTGTATTATTGATACTTTTTTTTAAAAGACACCAACTGGACAGATGTGTATTGACTTTGATCTTAGGCTTTTACTTTTGTCTAGTTATAGGCCTCAGGACTTAGCCCTTGCCTTTTACTGTGTCTATGAAAAGCGAGCCCTGTGAGACCTTATTAGAAGAAATTTGCCATGGTGTTCAGTCCCTCGTCAAGGATGAATTTCAGCTGCTATCAAATGTATTAGCTGTGTTATCTATTGAACATTCACTGTAGTGCCCTGCGTGTAGCCAGTTCTGATGTTGTGATTTCTCTGACAGAATGACAGCAGTTATTTATGACATTATTTATGAATTTATGTCTGCAAAACCTTTGAAAACAATTTTGATCATTTGTCTGTCTACTTAATCTATATCTATAAAGGACATATATGCTGTCTAGCTACATTGTATATAAAAGCATTTCAGCTAAGAGATCCCCCTGCCCTCCATGTCTTCTTACTGGAGTCTGCAGTTTAGTGAGAAAATCCTAGGTCCCTTGGAAGCAGCAGCAAAATTCCTACTGACTTCAGTGGGCTAGAATTTCATTCATTGATTTAAAAATTCAGAATAACTAATTCTTATTTCCCTTGTATCATCATTCATATGTTCACGTTGAATGCATAACAGCACCTCCAATATAAATGCATGGAGATTTCCAAGTGGGTGCTATTTTATACCCACATATTTTAAATGACGACACAAGGTGTTAGCAGGGAAAGCATAGACCCCTTGGTTTCTATGCTTTAAAAAGTGTCAGTAAAATGATTTTTTTCTATCCTATCCTTTCAGTTTTTAGAAATCTTTAATTTCATTCTTATTTGAATGAAGATATTTACTGGCTCTTAAATTTTATTTTTGGGAAAAAAAATGTGTGTGTGTGTATACCCCCAGATTTTTCATGTCAGTATGGTTTACTACCTGCTTCATTCCTAATGGGTTGCTGAATTAAGAGTATGCTGCTTAAATGTTGGCTGCAGCTTTTATTTCAAAGGGCGTAGCTTCAGTACTCAGCTGGACAACAGCTGTGGTCTTGTGCAGATGACTGGAGAAGTGGTGCTCTTAGAAATAAGGACAAAGAGTGGAAATACTTTAGTGGTACCATGTAGCTGTTTGCTGTGTCTGTATACCCCTGACTAGTTCACCATCCTTCATCTTATGTAGGGAAGTAAAGAGAATAAAAGATAGGTTCTGACATAAATCAGTGATTAATTTAGTCTAATATTGCATAGGAAGGCAGCTGGTAGATTCATTTTCTTACCACGGAGCAGTTCATGGTTACTGCAAAAACTAAGCTGTGGTTCTGCTTGTGCAAAGTGCCTGCACAGATGACATCATAAGGTTCTGCTTTATATCAAGTTTCTCTTGCATGGTTTTGTTCTCAGATTGTTCAGTGAAGGAAGTATTTCCCTCCTTCCTGAACTACCAGCCCTGCAAACTCACTCTGAAAGTTAGATCTCTTACATTTGCCAGCATTAAAGAGGTAGCAATAAGAACTTAATTACCAGTATCACTGCTAACGTATGAGACAGAATGAAATTCTGCTGTTGCAGCAGAAATATCCAGGATGAAGCATAATATTTGTTAACAAATTGAAATTTGAAAGGCTTGGATTCTCATCTCCTGCTGAGCAATAGTAAGATTTATACCACCTCTGCCCTCCCTAATCATTTTGGCCCCTGGCTTAACATATAGAAGCCTTGGCCAGGGGCAGGCAGGGCAGACTTCCAAGTCATTCAGCCTAGGGGCATACCAACTATCTGGTTGATGCATCTATAAGTCTGTAATATAATCAAGGATATTAAAGAAGTAAATCTTAAATCTGAACAGACTATTTTTTTCCTCCAAGAGACCCCTGCATGTTTTGTCCAAAGTGGCCATGTAAATCCAAAATATTGACATGACTCTGATATTGTTCCACCGATGTAAACTGGGAGCAAGCACACCAGAAGCAATGAGGTTACACTGGACAAAAACAATGCTGTAAATTGAAATCAGATTCCCACTTACCATTGGTTTGGGTTCAAGTTTCAAACCTGCTGATGGTGTACAACATAGGGTCAGTAGATTTGCCTTTTTTCTTAAAAAAGAAAAAGGGGGAGAAAGAAAAAATGTGTGTTAGAAGGAATGTATTTAGGTTGCACAGGTAAGACTCTAAAAAGAAGGAAATGATACGGTTGCTTAGCAACTTTAATTCTGCCACTTGCTACATGTGCATTTTTTCACAGGAACTCTGCCTTATTTAGTGCATGGGATCAAAGCACTAAAGACAAAAATTATGTTGGTCAAACACCTATAAAGCAGGCCTAAAACTAGCAAGCAAAAAAGCCATTGTGTTTGTTTCCTTTTAAAAAAAATACTAGGAAGTATGCAAAGGTTTCTAGAAATTTAGCACCCATTCAGTCATTGTTTATTTTCCTAGAAGAGACTATGGTTTTCATCTACAGCAAGGTTGCTGTTGATCAGCCTTGGAGAATCATGTCCATTTGGGGGTGGTTGAGGGATTTTAGGTACAAATGTGCTAGGGGTTCCCAATTCTCACCAACTTGCAGAAGGGGAACTCTCATTTGTGCTTTTCAGAATGCCCTTTTCCTTGAATACATGTGGTGGAGCTCAACAGATGTAACCATTTGCTGATAGTGCTCTATGAGTTAGGGAAGTGAAGCCCTGACTCAAGATATATTAAAAAGACTGGGGTGTGGACTCAAGACTCTAAAGACCAAGGGACACAACCCAGAGGAGAGCACAGCTTAGTTTCCCTTTTCTGCAGGTTCTGTGGGAATGAAATGGTAGATTGAGACAGAGCAGTGTAAATCCGTCTCTTACTATGCTGCCTCTCCCCCTTAGGTATACTGTTCTGTAAAACCCAAGGTATCTAGTGCAAAAGGCAAGTACTGTCTTGTGCATAAACTGTAGCAGGTTACATTTCATGTCTCTGTTGCCTTTTAGCTAAAAGAAAATCCACAGACTACCACAACATTTTATTTTAAATACTGTATTGTCTGGTAGGTAATTGTGGTTCCAGGGAATAGTATATGAATTGTGCCCATTAGGGTAATGGATTGTTTCTGTTTCAAAGGGTTTAATCACACAGCTTTAAATATCAGTACATTTTGCTTGTAGAAGCACCAGAAATACACATTGAAAAGGATTAACCTTTCCTGTGTATTGCTCCAGGTAGTACACATTTTAGAAAAATAGCTTTATCTTGATTGCAGTTCAAATGTGTAGGACACACAAAGCTTTCCTGTTTAAATTGTTATTCTTTTGCCTGAGACCTGTGTGACCTGATATTAGATAAAGAGACATTTAAAACATCCCCCCCCCCGCCCTTATATTCAGAAAGCCAGAGGTTGCCACATGATAGTGACTTAAATCAAGACAATTTCAAGTCACGGATGAGATGTAGAATGCTGGCATTATTCCTATTTCTTGTTTGTTAGTAATAGCTTGACTGAGTATTGAGACTGAACCTAAAATGCTGCCATCAGCACCAACTACCCTTTAGATTAGCACACATCTCCTATTCCCTAGCACATAGTTAGACCAGCTTAATGTCAGAGCATAAAAAAGATACTTGTTAAATAATTTCCCAAAGCTCCTGCTCAATCTTTAATTTGTTTTCTTTTTTCCCCTCACCCTCTCTCTCTCCCCCCACCCCCTTTTTTTTTTCTCTGTGCCGAAGGGTACGCCATTAAGTCGGGCTGATTTAAGGGCTGTCAACATCAACCTCTGCGACATGTGCGTTATCCTGTCAGCCAATCAGAATAATATTGATGATGCTTCGCTGCAGGACAAGGAATGCATCTTGGCGTCACTCAACATCAAATCTATGCAGTTTGATGACAGCATTGGGGTCTTGCAGGCTAATTCCCAAGGTAAGGACTGCCCTATAATACTTCTCTGCAGTGCCTACAGGGGACAGGACCTGGCACGAAGAATATCCCTCACTCAGTAATTCAAAGAATCTTACATCAGCTTGCTTGACAGTTAAACCTGCTGATTGGTATGACGGCTTTTAAAGGGACAGTCACATAATTTCCCTACTGCCCCCGAAAGCAAATTTGGTAGGAAATAATGAATATGAACCCAGATTTCTATTTTTTTAATGAAATGTTGATTACTAAACCCACACACTTTTGTATCTTTATAGTTCTTATAAATAAATGTGCATTATTTTGCATAGCCAGAGATGGCTTATCTTCACTCTAAGTGCAAAATGGAATAATCATAAATATTGGCTGGCAAGAGTTTTTCCAGCAGACTCTAGTAAATAAGAAGTCAAACACCATACAGAAAGAGAGACTGAATTTTAAAAGACATCTCTTCATGTTTTGTATGCCTTCATGCTGAAAAAGCCACACAGGATTAATTTTGTCTTCAGACTGACATGTCCAGGTGTCAATTAAGGGTTTGAGACAAATCCTGCCATCTTTATTGAAAACTAGGGGACTGATTCATAGGTACCCCAAGGCCATTTTCTCCCAAATGTGGTAATGCAAAAAAAGCTGTAAGCACCCTGGCAAATACCATCATGTAAAGGCAGTCATTTTTTATCCTTGTGAGAGCCCACTATGTAGGAAGTGCAGAAAAGAGTTGCCTCTGTTAAACCTTTTAAAATGGTGTGGTGAGCTGGCACTACTCTAATGGTGCAAAAGGGGTGATGCTTTGACTCTGTTCTCTTCCTTCATCCTGCTATATGCACCAATTTATTCTCAAGCAATTCAGGCCTGAGATTAAAATTACTTCTTGTAGAATGAAGGGTAGCAATGATGGGAGGGAACCTCCTGTGATATCTCTCTGCTGTTCTGCAGAGTTCAGCACAAAATCATGACTTGGTCTAAGTTTGCACTGAAGATAAGGAAGTTAAGCCAGAGGAAGGAGTGCAGGGTTAGACCTAAAGACAGCACGTAGCCTAAAACGCATTGTAAATTGTGAGAATAGGACTGTGAAGAGCTATAAATGTTGGCACAAAAGCAAATTGTGATTAGCAGTGAGGAATTATGAGTTATGACTCAGCCTTTGTAACTGCTTTATGTGGACAAAGTAGTAATACCTTTTTTGAAAAACTAGGTAGATTATGAAACTCATCCTGGGATTTGGTTAAAGCCAAGAATTTGGCAAGTGTCAAAGAGATATTGTGTATTTATATGGATAACAAGACTATCTAGAGTAGTGCAGATGGAAAATGGTTTGCTTGTTTCCCCCCTCCTTTTTTTCCCCCAATTTCAGCAATTTTGCTGTCCTCAGTTAAGATGAATCCAAACTTTGTCAAATTAAGAAAGGTGTGGGGGGAAGACTGGCTCACCCATAATAAGATAGGTGATAGCCATGCTGAAGGAGACAAGATGTGGGAGGCAGTTTTGAGTTCCTTCTCTGAGTGATTCGCCTCAATATTACACAGCCTTAGTGACTATCTGGATCACTGTGCTATTGGCTATTCTGGGGATGTTCTCCATCTGTCACTCAAATATTCTTGGGGGCAGAGATTTGAACCTTGCTCTACCATATCACTGGTGAGAACCCACAGCACCAAGCTTTCTTTCTTAATTTAGTTGAATGGAATACACTAGTTCTAACAGGAGAAATTGAGACAGACAGATAGATGGAAGGACCCTCTTGTTCTACAGCACTGTTAGCAACAATACCAGGATTTTTGGTCTTTATGTACAATGACTGCTAAGAGAGGAAGGGCTGCTCCCTCTTTCTGTAGCCCCTAAAGGCTGACACTGCAGACACTAAGGGTGCAAGACTGAAGTGCAGCTCTCTGCTGTAACTGAAAATATTTTCAGGAAGCATTTTTAGTTACAACAATCCCCAAGACCAAACAAAAGTTCACCGTTGGTTTCCCAGGGGAAAGGGAGTCTAGGGGCTGGCTCAGTCTGTAGCTGGTTTCCCCTGGCAATGACCCCTCCTCCCTGCGAGGCTGCAAAGTTTTCAGAATGGGAGGGGGGAAAGGGAGCAGAGGGCGTTCATTCTAGGGGTTCCCCAGCCAGTGCTGGAGGCTGCGGTGGGTGAATTGGAGCCCCCCCCTGCCTCAGGGGGGCTTCAATACACCCACCCCACCCTCCAGCGGGAGCTGAAAACCCCCCAGATTGAACTTCCTGCAGTCCCTTTTCTGCCTCCTATTCTGAAAACAGTGTCAGGCTGGTAGGCAGTGCAGACAGAAGTTACAAAAGATACTCTGTTTTGAAACATCTTCATCTGACCCCTTGTGCAATGAGGTTATTTTTGAAGCTGTCAGCAACCGTGCACTTTTGTTTGGTCACGGCTATAGACCACTTTCTGTGGCCAGATTGGGCAAAAACTGGCACTTCTGTCTGCGCCTAAACTAAAAGCTCCTGGTGAATTTATTTTACCTCAAGGGTAATGCTGGCTCCCATTCAACTGAGCTGACCCAGAGCAGGAGGGAAAGGGTGGGCTAGCACATGCTCCCCAAGTCCTTAAACATATTCCCAAGGTTAATCTTTAAGATTTACCTGGGGAATATGTTTAAGGACTTGGGGAACATGTGCTTGCCCACCCTTTCTCTCCTCCCAGTGTGGATTTTAAGTTTACACAGATTTTCCATGGAAGTTTACTGACTGCAGAATTTCACCAGTATTGTATTTTTTGGAAGGGTAAAAGGAAGTACTTTAAAAGCAAACTACTGGTTTGGAAAACAATTATGGCAGGCTGCATCATTTGTTGTATCCATGACTTCTGAATTGGTTACATTGTTTTCAGTACAGTAGATTTTCTTGAAAGATCTTGATTACGATGGCTAGGTTGTCAGAAGCAATTAAATCAATAGGTGGCATAAAGTTTGCTGAAATTGTATCTGATGTGACATTTTTGTCTATGAGATGCAGTTTTAATGTATAGTAGGCACAGCTACAGTGACAATTATATAAACCAGGTGATCTGGCTTTTGCTGGTCAGCAAGCAACATATCAGAACCACTTTGCAGCTCCTTACTGGCAATGAAGTGCCTTTATTTACAGAGTGAGTTGTCACTTTAGTTTTGCTTAAATATTTGTGTATTATTTAACATGCTCATGTATCTTGGGAAAACATTTCAGTTTACATCACTCTGTATAAACCCAGACCATTGTGAGGCTGGGTTCTTTTAGTTCTGAAGGTATGGCATTGGAATTCATACGCAAATAAAGGGTGGTGCTCTATTAATGTATACGACTTCAGATACTGAACATCAGAAGCACCAGGAAATCTACATATGGAAGGGTGACCGCTGATAAGATGCTGAAGGAAAAGGGAGACAGCTAACAAGGAGCTGGCATACTAGTGAAGAACTGGGGTTGAATGAACTGAAACAAGGGGAGCAGAATTTTGAAATTAAATGAAGGGACCAGGGACAGCAACTGAGATGGGATGTAGTGCTGATGGGAAACAGTGCCTGGAGCAAGTAGATAACTAGAGGCTTGTGGTAGGAAGACAGGAGGTAAGTTGGATGAGATGCTTCGAACCTGAGACTGGTAGCAAATGTGTGCATTTATACATGTGCCTCAAGGGTGGTGGGAAGGGGTACTTTACTAAGACTGGCTCCAAGAGCCATTTTAATTAAAGCACTCAGAGCATCACATGTAACAGTGTCCCTGTGCAGAAAAAGGGCAATGGGAGCACTTTAACTAAAGCTTGTTCAACTTGTGAAAGTTAACCTCTCCAGGAATGCAAATGCTTGGGCCAGCAGCTGAATAAGCCCCTCTTGCTGGGAGGGGCCTTGCCCTGAGCAAAGAATAAGCAGCGGAGGCTGGGCGCAACCCTGCCCAGCAGCTGGAGTGGCAAGCGGTGAGTAACTGTGACAGGCAGCAGCCCATCACAGCTTCCCAGAGGCCGAGCCCCTTCCTAGCAGGGTGCTGCACTGTGGGGCCAGCAGAGCTGCTGCAGAGTGTGGTAGTGCTGTGGGGGGCTTGCAAGGCTCTGGTCCACTCCAGACCACAGTGCTGCCATGCGCAGCCTGCTGAAGCTCTGCTGGCCCCACAGCATAGTCCCCACATTATGACAAGGGCTGCTGCCCCCAACAAGGGCCCTGCCACCTCCCACTGCAGCGGCAGGGATGGGACACAGCCAGGTAGGGCCCCTGGGGGGACAGAGATGGGGGTTATTTCTTCTCCCTCTGATGAAGGGGACAGCAGGGGGTCTATGCCAGGGCAGGGAGCAAGTGCAACAGCGAGGGCTGGCAGACCTGGCCGTTTGGTGGTGGAGGGGAAGCTAACTCTCCTCCCTGCCCTCCTCTGCCTGAGGGGCCATGGTGCTCCAGTGCTGCAGCAGTAAGGGGGGAGTGCCCAGCAGACCTTGCTCAGGTCCCTGCCGGTAGCACAGGGAGGAAAGAATTAAACCCCTTTCTAGCCAGGCCCCTGCCTGTCCCTGCTTAGGTTGGGGAGAGAGGGGCAGAGCCAGCTTGGCTGGGCTGGAGGAGAGAGCCCCTCCTAGCTCAGAGAGCATGCTGGGATGCTGGGGGTCTCTGTTTCAGCTCGAACCAGGAAGGGGTCTGGGACAGACATTGCATAAATCAGTTTAACCCAAATCAGTTAAGCTGATACTACATCCAACCCGGTTTATCTCATACCAGTTTTGGCCATTTTGAAACTGGTTTATGTGTGCTGAATGTCTGTTCTGTTACAGATTTAAACCAGTTTCTGATTACTTAAACTAGTTTATGTGTAATATCTGCCCCTAGCTCAGAAGTTCAGTGCACGTAAACCACTTTCAAAATGGCTGATACTGGTTCAATTACATAATTAAATGTAACTCATCTGGATGGATATAGTATCAGACGTAACTGATTTAGGTTAAATCTGTGTAACAGACTGCCAGTGTGGGCTCACCAGATTGGCTTGAGATACTTACCCTGGGCTAGAAACAGTGCTGGTGAACT